CAACACTGGTTATATCTTATAATGTTTTATCCAGGCTACTTTCTCAGTAGGTTGTAATTGTAGTTTTGAGTTTCCTTTCTGATCCATGACATAAGTAGGAGTGTGTTTTCAATGTCTAGGTGTGGCAGGGTTTGTTTACTCTTTCTTTTAATGTTTATTTATTTTGGTAGAGAGAGAGAGAGCAGGGGAGGGGCAGAGAAACAGGAAGAGAGAGAATCCCAAGGAGGCTCTGCGCTGTTAGCACACAGCCAGGCGCAGGGCCCCATCTCACCAATGGTGAGATCATGACCTGAGCTGAAATCAAGTGTTGGAGGCTTAACCAACTGAGCCATCCAGATGCCCCTGTTTACTCTTTTTGATTTTAAGTTTTGGTTTTATTTCATTGTGGTTATAAAACAAGATCTTTCTAATTTTGAGTTTTAAAGAAACTATTGATGTTTCCTTTGTAATCCAGTGTTTAATCAACTTTATAAATTTTTTGTCAGTTGTAAATTCTATTTTTAGGTTGAGCTTAGTTTTTAGAATATATTCTATTCTTAGGTTGCAGAGTTTAGTTCACTCCTAACATCTACCTTATTAATTATATTATTTAAATCCTCTATATCTGTACTATCCAAAGCAGTAGCTGCTCTCCACTTATGGCTATTGAACATTTGAAATGTGACTAGTCTGAACTGATATGTGTTGTCAAGTATAAAATACACACGAGGTTTTGAAAATTTACTACAAAAAAGATAAAATACCACAACAAAAATTTTTATATTGACAATGTATTGAAATGATAATATTTTGGATCTGTTGGATTGGAAAAAATAAGTAAACATCACTAAAATTAATTCCATCTTTTTTTGGTACTTTTTGAAATGAGGCTACTAGAAAATTTCAAATTACATATATAGCTGATGTTTTATTTATTTTTTTATATTCAAATTTGAGTTAACATACGGTGCCATATTGGTTTCAGGAATATAATTCAGTGATTCATCACTTACATACAGCATCCAGTGCTCATCACAACACATGCCCTCCTTAATACCCATCCCCCATCTAGCCCATCTCCCCACTCACCTCCCTCCATCAACCCTCATTTTGTTCTCTATCATTAAGAGTTTCTTGTGGTTTGTTTCCCTCTCTTACCCCCGCTTCCCATATGTTCATCTGTTTTGTTTCTTAAATTCCACATGAGTGAAATCATATGGTATTTATCTTTCTCTGACTGACTTATTTCACTTAGCATAACACATTCTAGTTCCATCATTGTAAATGGTGTTGTAAATGGTTGAATATCTTTTCGTGTGTCTTTTGGCCATTCAGAGTGTATCGTTGAAAAGATTTTCTTCAAGAAAAGAATGTAGGTGGTAGACATTGAGAGCCACAACTGTTTGAAAATGTTTTTCTGGTCTCCTTCTTACAACCAACATCTTGGCTATGTTTAGAATTCTTGAACACAGAATTTTTCCTTTAAAACTCTGTAAAACTTCCATCTTCTGATGTTTATTTTGTGGAGAGGACATTCTGACTCCGTTGTTTTGTAAGAAACTTATTTTTTCTGTCTGGGTCCTTGAGGGATGTTTTCATTTTCCTTCAGTTTTGAAAGTTGAGAAGGATATCTGTAGATGTTGTTATTTATTTATCTATTTAGTTTTTTAACAGCTTCATTGAGATGATATGCAGTTCATATACCATGCAACCTACCCTACACTTTAAGTGTACAATTCAGTGGCTTTTAGTGTATCCACAGAGTTGTGCAATTATTACCACAACAAATTTTAGAACATTTTCATCATCCCGAATGAAGACTTAAACCCCTGAGCCATCACTCCCCAATTCCCCTCCCTCCTGCAGTTGCAGGCATCCACTAATCTGTTTCCATAGATTTGCCTATTCTGTGTATTTCATGTGAATTGATTTATACAATATGTGGTCCTTGTGACTAATTTCTTTCACTTACTATAATAGTTTTGGAGATTCACCCATATTGTAGCATGTGGCATTTCGTTTCATTTTTTTTTTTATTGCTGAATAGTATTCCACTGTATAGATATAACATATTCATCAGTTGATAGACATTTGGGTTGTTTCCACATACGTACTGACTAGTAAGAATAATGCTGTTATGAGCATTTGTTTTCATTTCTCTTGGGTATATATCTAGTAGTGGAATGGCTGGGTCTTTTGGTAACTCTCTGTTTAGCCTTTTGAGAAACTGCAAGACTGTTTTACATAGCAGCAACGCCATTTTACATTGCCAACAGCCATATATGAGGGTCTCAATTTTTCTGCATCTTTGACATTCATTTTTGTCCATCTTTTGACTACAGCCACCCTAGTGAGTGTGAAGTGATATCTCCTTGTGGTTTTGATTTGCATTTCCCTGATGACAGTTGATGTTGAGCATTTTTTCATGTGCTCATTGGCCATTTGTATATTTTTGGGGGGAGTAAATGTCTGTTCATCTCCTTTGCTCATTTTAAAATTGAAGTGTTAAGAAACAAAGCAGATGAACATAGATGAAGGGAAGGAAAAATAAAATAAAAACAGAGAGAGAGAAACCACAAGAGACTCTTAAATCCAGAGAACAAACTGAGGGTTCCTGGAGGGGTGGTGAGTGAAGAATGGGCCAGATGGGTGATGTGTATCAAGGAGTGTACTTGGGATGAGCACTGGGTGTTGTATGTAAGTGATGAACTGAATTCTACTCCTGAAACCAATACTACACTATATGTTAATTAACTTGAATTTAAATAAAAGAATAAAATAAAAAATTGAATTGTCTTTTTATTACTGAGTTGTAAGAATTCTCTATATATTCTACATAGAAGTCTCTTGTCAGCTATATGATTTGAAAAATTTTTCTCCTGTTCTGTGGGTTGTCTCTTTGCTTTCTTGATGACATCCTTTGAAGCACAGTGATTTTTAATTTTTGATGTCCAATTTATTGTTTCTTTTGTTGCTTATTCTTTTGGCATCACATCCAACACACTTACCTAATTTTAGAAATATTACCTAATCCAAGGTCACAAGGATTTATGCTTGTTTTCTTCTAAGAGCTTTATAGTTTTACATTTTACATTTAGGTCTTTGATCCATTTTGCATTCATTTTTGTATATTGTTTGAGGTAGGGATCCAACTTCGGGTTTTTACGTATGGATATTCAGTAGTTCCAGCACTATTTGTTGAAAAAAATTTTTTTTCCTATTGAATTGTCTTAGCATCCTTGTCAAAAATTTATTGACTATAAATGTGAAGGCCTGTTTGTGAAGTTTTCATTTTATTCCTTTGATTTATGTGTCTGCCTTTCTGCTGCTACTGTATAGTCTTGATTGTTGTAACTTTATAGTAAGTTTTGAAATCAGAAAATGTGAATTGTCCAAATTGTTCTTCGTTTTCAAAATTGTTTTGGCTATTCTGGGTTCCATGAATTTCCACATGAATTTTAGGAGTAGCTTATCAATTTCTGCAAAAAATCCAACCAAGATTTTTATAGGGATTGCATTAAATCTTTAGATCAATTTGAGGAATATTGCCGTTTTAACAATAGTAAGTCTTTCCATCTCTGAACATGGATGTCTTTCCATTTATTTAGATCTTTAATTTCTTGTAACAGTTTTTTTTTTTTTGCAATTTTAAGAGTTTAAGTCTTGTGTTACTTTTGTTAAATTTATTTCTAAGTGTTTAATTCTGTTTTATGCTATCTTAAGTGGAATTTTTCTAATTTCATTTTTGGTTTGTTCATTGCAACTCTACAGAAAGACAATTGCTTTTGTACATTAATCTTGTTTCCTGCAAACTTACTGAATTTATTAGTTCTAATAGCTTTTTTTAGTGGATTCCTTAGGGTTTTCTATACACAAGAATATGTAATCTGCAAGTAGAGATAGTTTCACTTCTTCCTTTCTAATCTGGACTATTTTAATTTCATTTTCTTGTGCAATTGCCCTGGCTAGCAACAGTACAATTTTGAGTATATGTGATGAGAACAGAACATTCTTATTTTGTTTCTGATCTTCGGAACAGGGGGAAAACATCAGTCTTTGATATGAAGTATGATGTTAGCTGTGGAGTTTTTTGTAGCTGCTCTTTATCAGGCTGAGAAAGTTTCCTTCTATTCTGGTTTGTTGAGTATTTTTTATCTTGAATGTTTGCCAAATGCTTTTTTCTGTTTCTATTGAGATGATCATGTGTCCTTGTCCATATTAGTAGGTGTATTACATTCATTGAATTTTGGGTAGCATTTATTTTTATCTTTTAATTCAACTTCCCATTTCCTCATTCTTTAGCCTTCAGAGAACTTTAAAAGAACCCATAAATGACACATGCAATAGATGTGGTGCAAACCCTGGAAGTTGGTGGCAGTCCACTGTGAAACTTTTAATTTCCAGAACTTTATACCTCATCAAAAGTACTGGTGAGGGCTATCTAAGATTGTTTTGTTTTGCTTTGGTGTTGTTGAATGGTGTGAATGTAAAACAAATTTTTAAGCATGCTTATGTAACCCAACTGTATAAATTCATAACATTATTTTTATAGTGTATATGACACAGTTTTATATTGCAGGCACTGTTTTTTAATGTGGGAAATTTTGACTGTGTTATTTATATATATTTTAGGGGTAATAACCCTTTTCTGCATACTAAGTATGTAGCTAGTATTTCTGACAATTGTAATCATTATCAATGTATTTTATCTTTGAAGATATCTAGATGCCCCCCCCCCCATTTCTTTCAGCATAACATGATTTGTTTCATGCTATGTATTTCTATCATGTCCTTATTTGATTTTGTTTATTTAATTTAGTTAATGTTTATTCTTGAGAGCGAGAGACAGAGTGCAAGTTGGGGAGGGGCAGAGACAGAGGGAGACACAGAATCCAAAGCAGGCTCCAGGCTCCCAGCTGTCAGCACAGAGCCCAATGCGGGGCTAGAACTCACGAACTATGAGATCATGACCTGAGCCGAAGTCAATGCTGAACTGACTGAGCCACCCAGGAGTCCCTATCATGTCCCTATTTTATAATGTATGTTCACATTAATTGCAGTTTCCTTCTCTTGGACACATTTTTCTTTCCATGTGAGTTCCTTCACTTGGTTAGATTGTCATTTTCATTGATAATGCTTTTGCTAATCAATTTTTCTTCTTTGAGTGCCTGTCCTTTTGTTCCTGATTTTGTAGTTCCACTCTATTTTTTATTTCAGCTGTATTTATTGGTATTTCTTTCTCATTTCTGTTGGCCTATGACCTATTACTGGTTTATGATATTTATAGGTTTATGAAATTGACCGTCCATCCTCTGCTATCAGAGACAATTAATATTTACATGTTTCTTAGAAAATAGTTATTTTTTGTGATTAACATATGTGTTAGCATTCCAACTTTATAGCAAGGTCTTGGATTATCAGAAGGCATCACTTATAGGCACATAAAGTTTTATTTATTTTCTATTCAGGTAAAATTTACATAACATAAAATGTACTGTTTGAACCATTACTAAGTGTATGGTTCAGTGGTAGTAAGTGCACTCACATTGCTTTGCAACTTTAAAGTTTTTGAAGAGAAAAGAATACCCATTTCTTAATCCTTCAGATTTTCCTATTCTCCCTTATTACTTCTTTTCTGTTGATCAACTTTCCATTTCTTTTAGATGCTGAGGAGTTCTTGGCAGAAGGTTTGCGGAATGAGAACCTCAGTGCTACTGCAAGGGACCACAGAGACCATATACTAAGGGGCTTCCAGCAAATCAAAACTAGGTTTGTATAAACTGGTTCCATTTTTCTTTGTCAGCTTTTACACAATTTATAACCACTAAAATCTACTTATACATTAAAGAGGTAAGATGTACTTATCATAGTTCTTTATACTTGATAGAGGCTTACTAAATATTTACTGAATTGAATTGGAGGTAGGCAGGCATGATTAGTGTAGTTAGTATACCAAAATAAAACTATTTTTATAATTATGTACCTGAAGATAAAGAATCTGCCTTTAGCTGTAGACTGTTGTGTTCATCTTTATTGAATACTTTGGCCAAATGTGTGAAAAACTAAACATTTATGCCTGTCCAAGTTACTAAAGGGAAGATGTTAGGTGGTATGACATAATTTTTGTTGTGATTTTTGGCTCTGATTTTACTTCCACATCTCCTTCCTTAATAGAAAATTTAGGGGCGCCTGGGTGGAGCAGTCGGTTAAGCGTCCGACTTCAGCCAGGTCACGATCTCACGGTCCGTGAGTTCAAGCCCCGCGTCAGGCTCTGGGCTGATGGCTCAGAGCCTGGAGCCTGTTTCCGATTCTGTGTCTCCCTCTCTCTCTGCCCCTCGCCCGTTCATGCTCTGTCTCTCTCTGTCCCAAAAATAAATAAACGTTGAAAAAAAAAAATTTAAAAAAAAAAAAAAAAAGAAAACTTAAACCAGACTTACCAGATGATTCTTTGGCCATATTGGAATGTTTTAGTCTCAGACTGGTTTAGAGTACCATGGTCATTGACTTTTTAAAATGAGAGGTCCTGACCTAATTTGTGCCTTTTAGAATGTGAGCATCTGACAGATACATACATACATTTGCTTGGGGGAGAAAGAATAAAATTTTTCTTTTACAGTGTATTTCCTGGCCATCTTTTGCTTGAAATGTGGTAACTGAAAGAGATTTGGGGGATAAGTTGAATGTTATTTTAAGCTTTTCTCAACCCAATGGCAATACGGTTCAGAATGTTTGAACTAAGTACTCTTAGAAAAGGGAAAACATCTGTAGGGTTATGACTGGGATTTAATTTGTGTGCCTGACTGATCTTAGCATCTACTTTTAAAGCTCACTGAAACTCCTTAGAAGCAGGGAATTTTATCCTTTGGAAGGGCACAGCCAGAATCTATTCCCTCCAGAAATGTGAGAGAACCTCACAAGATGCCCTGCTGGATCTTAATCGATCTTTCCTGCTGGCTAATTAAGCATCACTTTTACTCAGCAACTGGGGACTGTGTAATTATCAGCCTGGGTTGCCCTGAATAATTGAAACAAACAGAATGCAGAAGATGGGAGCTTTTTGCAAAAGTGAGAATATCTGTAATTTTTGGTAGGCTGGAAGAGTGTTTAAAACAAGTTTCTCCATAATGTTACTTTATTAGTAGATAAGTTTAGGCTTACCTGTGTATCTGAAGGTTTAGTTAGTAACCCATAGAATTTTTTTTTTTAATTTTCACAAGTTGACCTTTGTATTTACAGGAGTATTATAAGCTTTGCATAAGGAATGGAGGTGGCATTACTTCAAATTGTATTATAGGGAGACGGATGCCCAGAACATAATTGTGTATTGATGGTGCTATGGGTATAACTTTGTGATAAGGAATGCAAAAAAAAAAATGAGTGTTACTGTATCTGTATGGACAAATATACAACGAGGAGGAATTTTCCTTTTCCATATTTGTACCACAGCGTTTGGAAAGGGCTAAAGTTCAATCTGAAATTGGTAGTAAAAGGTGATTTTGTGGTCACTCATTATTATCAATTGCTTATTACTTCTTAGTCCTCTTTTTAAATGCACACACATACACACACACCCATGCACACTCACAGAAGCTGTCTTTGGTACGGGGTCGAGAGGGTTCCTTGTTCTCCAAGAGCTTGCTGTGCGGTTTGTGGGATAGACGTTCAGGAAACAATCAGCAGGAGCTTTAGGAAACATCTGATGGGAGCTTTCTGTTCATTGATTTGTTGCAAGAAAGATGACACTTTATTTAGAATTTCATAATTATCAGATCACGGAGGAAATGAGGAGCCAGAAATTAGATATTGTACCAGAAAATGGAAAAATGGGGCTTTCCTTTGGCAAGCTGTTTGAAATTGCCTTACATCCACCCATTCAATCATCATCCCCTTAATGTAACCCTTGTTTTACTGAACACTCTTCTTCAGCCATATTGCTTCTACAGTCCTATTGACGGCTGGTCCCCATCATACACTATTTGTACGGATACCGAAAGCTTGTACAATACCAGCTACATTTACTCTTGTTGTGTGGTACTGTATCTTATGACAAAAAGCCAGGTGTGAAAAGAAATTTGGAAATCACAAAACTTGAGAGTTAAATGTATATGGTAAGTGGACATGTAACATGGAAAGAATCACTGAAAGTTGCTTCTAACATTGTATCTTTAATCATATTAAGCCAATTATATTTTAGGGTTTGGTACATTTTGAGAGGTAGGAACCTATCTAAAACTATGATCTGACACTTCAGGGCTTGAAGGTGGGTAAAAAAATCTCAAGGTAATCTGAGAAAGCCACTAGATGGATATAAATACTGTATGTATATATACACACACACATAGATTTCACACACACACACACACACACACACACACACACCTTTCCATTCTATTGTTATTTTCTTGGTTCACTTTCTCTAATTCTTTCCTCAAGTTGAGCTGCGTGAGAACGAGAAGGGTAGAGAGGAGTGAAAAGAGCACTGCCTCTGATTCTTGGTAAACTTTAGAGGGTTGGCCCTAATTTTTAGGGTGACTCAGAATTCAGTGGTGTTTGCCATGACTATGGAATTACTGTAAGTCCCAGTGTCTGACTGTCACAGCTGTCACATTATAAAATGTGCCGTTTGCTACCTTTCTGTTGTCTAGCCCGACTGACCCCAGGAAATGATAGCTGTGTCCAGAGTCGTGGGTGTCCTCCAAGTGCTCATCTGTTTTCCAGAACCAGTGGCTTGGCCATTCTCTTTCCTCACAGACTTAAAAACAGACAAACAAGGCATGCCTGAGTGGCTCAGTCAGTTAAGCGTCTGACTTCAGCTTGGGTCATGATCTTGCAGTTCGTGGGTTTGAGCCCTGCACCAGGTTTTGTGCTGACAGCTCAGAGCCTGGAGCCTGCTTTGGATTCTGTGTCTCCCTCTCTCTCTCTGCCCCTCCCCCGCTCACACTCGGTCTCTCTCTCTCTCTCTCTCTCTCTCTCAAAAATAAATAAACATTTAAAAAATATTTTAAAAAACAGGGGCGCCTGGGTGGCGCAGTCGGTTAAGCGTCCGACTTCAGCCAGGTCACGATCTCGCGGTCCGTGAGTTCCAGCCCCGCATCGGGCTCTGGGCTGATGGCTCAGAGCCTGGACCCTGTTTCCGATTCTGTGTCTCCCTCTCTCTCTGCCCCTTGCCCGTTCATGCTCTGTCTCTCTCTGTCCCAAAAATAAATAAACGTTGAAAAAAAAAAATTAAAAACAAACAAACAAACAAAAATCGTCTCTGTATCTCCATCTGCATACTAGTTTTTTTGGCTTACATGTATTACCAATGAAGGATCATGTATGCCACGTAAGACAAAATGAAAAAATGGGTGCTTTCAAAGAAGTGGAGCCCTTGTGTGGTATTCCATGTCCTGAGCTGTGATATTCATTGCTCTTCTTCCAACTGCCTCATTTAAACCTTCTCCCTAAAATCTAACAGCTTTCACATTCTGAGTCCAAGTTTTCACTGAGCTCTTTAGAGTATGATTAGGATGAAAGCCAGGCACAGGCTCCTCCTGTTTTATTACGCTGGTCACTGCAGGATCCGCGCCAGATGTGGGACACCTGGAACGAAGCAGACGATCTGCACGTAGAAGCTGGATGGCAGTCTCATGCATTTGCCGAAACAGTCGAGCATTTCTTAAAAGTTTCATTCAGGGGAGGCCATCTGACAGCAAGGATACATTGAGAGTGGGGGAAGGAATGAAGAAAATAGAATATTTTTATTACTAAGGTAGGGACATACATATTCTCTCTTGATGGCCTGTTTTGGAACAACCATTTATGCTCACTGTTGGAAGTGAAGGCCGGAGCCAATGGAAACAAACTTGGAGTATTGTTTCCTTCTGTGAAACTTAAAGGAGTTCCAAAAAGAGACAGGTAGATTTATAGCATATTGAAATGGAAAGAAATCAAGAAATAACTTTCTGTAACAGGATTACGGCAAAAAAGCCACAAAACCCAGGACATTTAATGCATAGGCTGGAAGAGGATCTTGAACATGTTTCATTGTGGGTGGCTAGTCCAGCTCTGCATGAAACATGATACATTAATATGAATATCATAATAACAATTCCAGTTTCTTTGAGAACTTCAAGTGTTTCTTTTCGGTTTACCATGGATTTAACTATAAAGTAGGATTTAGCTTAAGATGATCATCGGATGGCCTTTGTTTTATAGGAGGAGAGACAAAAAGTTAGTCTGATACAACTCTTGGGAGTTAAAAGTTTCAAAATAGTATACCGTAAATACTATTACCATTAATTACATAGAGGGTTTCACTCTTCTTAAGTGCTGGTTAATGAGCTTAAACACCCCAAAAGAAAACACATTCAAATGAAGCATGCTTAAAGAGAACTAAGGTGTAATGTGCTGTTATATTAATTAATACATTTGTGTTGCTTGCAAGTTTAGATATTTGCTCACAACATCTTTCTAATGTTTCATTTTGCTACTTACACTGGAGTTTCAGTGCCAACTCAGAGAAAAGAAAGAGTAGGAAATAATTATACCATCCATCTAAGTTTCAATAGCTCTAAAAAAGGTTCAAAAGTCATAGCAATAATTTGACCACATCTCAAAGGTTGATAATTTATTTTTTCCTTTTCTAGTCCCATCCCTGCCTCCCAGCCTTAAACTAAGAAAGAAACAAAACCCCGCCAAAACTTCAGGGCTCTCAACTGATCGTTTATATGCCAAATTCCTGTATACTAGTGTTCTGTTATTCAGTGAGTGTATGTTGAGATTTCACG